GCTCTCGCCTTAAAGCTAACAAAGTTATCAGCAATAGTTAAGAAATATCTTCAGCTGCACTTTCAGTTCTTTACCACGATATGGAGAGAGGGGGGAGGAGGGAGAGGTAGTGGCATAGAGGTATTTGAAATACTTCTGGATTATATAGAGAAGCACGCTTGAGCCTTAAACTTCGCTTTAAGATGTTTACCGTTCCGTATATGCAAAAAAAGAAAAAAAAGAAAGAAAAAAAAAGAAGGAAAATAAACAAAACTATGCTGCTCCTTAATCATAACTAAATCTGTGGATATAGTACGTAATCATGTACATATAGCCGCACTCAAGAGTTTCCAATTCCAATTAACTTCAAAGCTCTTATGCTTTTTGTAAATGACCATTGAACTATATTTAGAGAACAACAACAAAAATGGATTACAATAACAAAGCAAATAAGAAATTGAAAAAAGCAAATACAAACACACATGCATATATACACAAACACACACACACACGCAGATGAACAAATATTGAAATAAAGCGAAGTTTACACAAAAAGTAAGCAAATGACTTGAAGTGTTTGAAATCTCTTAGTTTTGATTTATTTGATTTTTATTTTTTTTTTGATTGTTTGTTCAACTTTATTTAAGTAATTTATACTCTGGGAGGTCATCATTTACATCATCTTATCTGGGACAAAAATGCATACATATACATATATGAAGGGGGGACAACCATGTGGCAGGGCTCCATGGGATGCCCAGTTCGCGTTAGCATTGATTAATCGTAATATGTAAAAAGCTTAGCTTAAACTTAAACGCACTTAACGAAAATGAGTGTAGCCGAGCCTAGAGCGCTACACTCGCCAAAGTATTTGCTGTCGAATCCGTAGCTAAACTTAACTTAAACCGTACACATATCATATCATATATTGTGAAGTGGGAATGCATTCCAAATCAAAACAAATCCAAACTGAACAAAATTCGTACGTCTGCCAAATGCGAATGCAACGTGTTAGGTAATTACATTCTGCTTATCAGATATATATGCACATATATACATATATATATGTATATATACTTATATTCCATATTTATATTTTATAGAATCTGTTTAGTTGTAGCTGCTATTTGGTGTCAACATCTCAATTATGGGGTCTGTGTACGCTTACTCGCCCACTAATAAACTCTAATACATCATCATCATCATCATCATCATCATCATCATCATTATCATTATCATCGTCGTCAATTTTCATAAAATATTCTAGTCACATTTGCCTTGAGCCCCACCCAAGGGGGTGGGTTGTGTTGTTGTTGTTGTCCATCTCACATGGACATTTCGGGCATTTTGTTGTGCTTCAAGTTGATCTGCACACTTTGGGAGAACATCTTGATGATGCCGTAGTTATCGTTGGTGTACACCCTTAGAAAACTAGGCACATTCTTGTTCAGAAGCTCGTGACAGAATTGCGGATACTTTCGAAACGCTGGCTGCTTATCATCCCACATGGACAAGATGTCGCAGTCATCGCTGGAAACATGGAAACACACATATTAGCACACGTATTCGAGTCAATTAGATGGACAGACTTACTGCACTTCGTTGGTGCACTCGTGTAGCGATATGATCAAGTACTGGATTTTCAGCTGTGTATACTGATTGTAGATATCAGACGACTGCTGGCGACTGTACACCGAGTAGACGTGCTCCGTCCGCTCCCTGTGAAGTAGTTGAGAGTTGGCATAAGAGCTTCAATTGACAAACACTCGAGTCAGGTCAACAACAATAAGAGACTTACGCCATTTGACGCATTTCGAGGTGTGCATGATTGACGATCGGCCGTCTGGTTGTCAAGTGCACGGTGCCAATTATCTCGATGGGTCCGGCGAAGACGGCATCGCGTTCCGTATTCAATTTGATCCACTCGAGCATGCCCTCCAGGTCATCCGTCGGCTGGTTGTAGCGTGTGGGAAAGTACTCCTCGCGTATATTCTACAAAATTAACTCACTGATGTCAATAAATATATAAACGAGAGGGAGAGAGATTGTCAGCTAACCACCATGCCGGGATCGAACATGCTGAGCAGGAAGACGGCCAGCGAGACGGACCAGAAGACGTTGCGCTGACGATGATACCAGATCTTGGAGCAGACCGTCGGCGCTATCACACAGCCCTGCGTGAAGCTGAGAAAGAAGAGCTTGCGCACGGCCAGGCCGACCAGCGTGAAGATCAGCATCTGGATGAAGCTGTACAAGTAATGCAAGTTCAATATCTGAGTGTTGATTGTGGGCACGACAGAGTCGCGACGCGCTGCCGGACGGCGTCTGCCGTTGGCTGGCTCTTTGGGCTCCTTGGCTTTGGACGGTAATGGTTCCTCAGGTTCACTTGTTGTCGCTGTCGGCGGCACTCCAGTTTCAGTTTCAGTTTTAGTTTCACTTTCTGTTTCAGTTTTAGTTTTAGTTTCAGGTTCTATTTGCGTCTTTGTTTCTGAATCTGTTTCCGTTTCTGTCTTTGCTTGGGCGGGAGTTTCAGCGGTCGCCGGCTCTCTGGCATGCGATTCGCTGGCCTGTTCACGCTCCTTGCGTTGCTTGTCACTGTTGCGATGTATCTGCGCCTTGAGCCGCTTGATGTCCTGCATGAAGTCATCACGCTCCGGTGGCTGCTCTTGCTGCATTTTGGCCTTTTCCCGCTTGTAGCGCTCGTAGTCGTGGTCGCAGCTCTCGAGCATGGCGAAGCATTGCTGGAGCTGCTGTTCGGTTTGCTTGTTGGACATATCGCTCATGGATACGTGGTGCTCCTCGAGGAAGTCCTCCAGCACATAGTTGCGAGCGCGCTCCCGTTGCTCCTGATTGGCCTTCGTGATGATGTTGCTCTTGCGCCACTTGCGGAAGAATGTGGCCAGCATGACGACGCCGTACATGCAGTAGGGCTTCACGATCAGCGTCTTGACCAACTGCCAGAGCTCCGACAAGGCGACGCGCTCATAGAGCGGATTGCAGGCAGACAGATTGGTCACAAAGCTCACCTTCGTCTGCAGCACCCAGTATGCCCACATGTCGCAGTAGTGCACGTAGGTATTCTCCTGCCAATTGAGCAGCCCCGACCTGTTCAGCATGTCCACAAGTTTGCCCTGCATGCTGTTCGCGAACAGCGGCGCCAGCAGCAGAAACTTCAACGAAAAGTAATCGCCTTGCTGCGCATTGCTAGATGGACGGCGATTGCGAAATTGCCGGAAGAGCGTAATCATGAACATGGTGAGGGCCAGGCTCAGTTGCCAGGTGAAGAGCAACTGGGTGTTGCCGTGTGAGATCAGAAAGGCCAGGGCGTTGCCCAGCAGATGCGAGAGCGAATAGTCCAGGGCGAAGGTCAGCCCCACAGGTATCGAGCAAATATTCCACGAGGACATCACTATTAATATCTGCGTGGTGAATATATAGTTGGAGAACGGCCACGAGAGCAGGGCACAGGCCGTAAACACAGACATCGAGCCGACCTAGGCGAAGTGCAGTCACACAGCATTAATTCCGATCGATCACTGAATAATCTGGATGCTTACCATAAAGACGCGTGAGGTGTGCTTCTGCCGGTGCAGCAGCCGGCTGATGCAAATGCACAAATAAAACATTTGCAGGAATATTAAGGGAAATGCAAAATTTTCACGTGCCAGTGGCCGTTCATAGATTTTGCCAGCAAAGCTGTGGAACATTAAATATGAGATGACGCCATAGATGCCACCAAAGACATTCTCGCTGAGCAGCGTCCCGTACAAGTAGAGCACCAGCAGCGTGAGGCCGCCCATTAGCCAAACGAACTCCAGGTAGAACTCCATGGGCTGCAGGCTGGGATTGAAGCCGGCGCGCACAATATGGAAGATGTAGCTGCAATATACCAAAGAGAGATCAAAAATTTCATCAGTCAAGCCTCATGTGGTCAATCCCTATCAAATCATGCTATAGGTTGCCTTCTTCTTAATCTCTGTTAGTAAGCGAAGTTGTTGGTATTCTATTTCTTATTCGGTTTACTCTTGTATCAGTTGTTTAACTAGAAAACGAAACTTCTATGCAAGCAATGACTCACATTCCCAGAAAGAAATATTAATAAAATTGTGCATGCTATAAGGGCGTGGACATCGATCGGATGCGAGTGCACTTGTTATATTAAGTTACTTACGCTGTAACCAGCTCGGGAAGCACATAGAAACGCTGGAGCACATTGACGCTGTGCGGATACTCAATGTCTGTGACATTCTTCAGCTGGTCGTAACCATGCCAGAAGTCTGGGCCATCGGCTAGCTTCTTGTAGAATGTGTAGTAGAGGGCATCTTCGCGGCGCAGCAGCGATTCGCGCTCCAATTGATTGAGATGCCGTATGTTGGTGCGCGCCTCGAAGATAACGCGCACATGGTGCACATACAGAAAAAAGAAACCCGAGCCTAATGGCTGCGTATTATCTCTGAAGCGGCCGGCGATTTTCAACAAAGTCTACTTACCAATTAGCGCGTGTGATAAAATTACGTACAAATTGGGCTCGCGCATATTTCTGTCGTTTGTGTTACGTCTCTCTCGTTAGTTCGATTGTTTATTCATAATTTGTGCTTGCGTCTATTTGATTAAATTAGCAGAATTCCCCTTGCTATGGCTGCAGCTTTTACCCGTAAACAAAAAAGTATTTACTACAGCTGATATTTTCGTTGCTAGAAAGATGAATCAGCTGACACCATCGAATTTCACCAGCTGTGCTATCGATATGCTGAAATGTAGTATTTTTATATCGAATATAGCCGATTTACAATTCTCAACGATTGCATATTATTCAAATAGTTATCCATTACTGCAATAAATTATATAAGGTCTTAATATAAATTTTCTAGCTTTATTTGATAAGTGGTGCAGTATACCGCAAATTTAAGGCACCTACTATCGATATCGTTTTTATCGATTATAGGGTGCACGATGATTGTGGGTGTTTGGTATTTTGCGTGATAATGTTTTGTTTTCAAATTGCAGTCACACTGCGGCTTCTTTACATTTCTGCATTTGAGGGCGCATTTTAGTTTTTTAAATAATTTTAATCAAAAGTGAGTTGTCTTTGCAGTCCGCTGGCCATGGAGCGTTATTTGGTGAGCTCTTTGGTGGGCCAGGGCTCGTTTGGTTGTGTGTACAAGGCCCAGCGGCGAGCCGACGACAAAGTGGTGGCCATCAAAGTCATATCCAAGGTGGGTTTTTATCATAACATTCCGTCAAAGGCGAGGCGAGTGCAACAGCTGAATACTAATTAGCAATTTCTTTGCAGCGAGGTCGCTCCAATCGCGAGCTGAAGAATTTGCGGCGGGAATGTGACATCCAGGCACGCCTCAAGCATCCCCATGTCATAGAAATGGTTGAGTCTTTCGAGTCCAAATTCGACTTGTTTGTGGTCACCGAATTTGCGCTCATGGATTTGCATCGATATTTGTCTTTCAATGGTGCCATGCCCGAGGACCATGCACAGCGTGTTGTCTGCCATCTGGTGTCCGCGCTCTATTATCTGCACTCGAATCGCATACTACATCGAGACTTGAAGCCGCAGAATGTGCTTCTGGACAAGAATATGCACGCCAAGCTCTGTGACTTTGGCCTGGCACGCAACATGACGATGGGCACCCATGTCCTCACCTCCATAAAGGGCACACCACTCTACATGGCACCGGAACTGCTTGCCGAGCAGCCATACGACCATCAGGCCGATATTTGGTCATTGGGCTGCATCGCATACGAGAGTATGTCCGGACAGCCGCCGTTCTGTGCAACTTCCATACTTCATCTTGTTAAGCTTATCAAGCACGAGGATGTCAAATGGCCCAGTACGCTAAGCAGCGAGTGCCGCTCTTTCCTCCAGGGCTTGCTCGAGAAGGATCCGGGGATGCGCATCTCGTGGACGCAGTTGCTCTGCCATCCTTTTGTCGAGGGCAAGCTGTACATACCCGAGGTGCAAGCAGCACAGACCTCGCCCTTTATAAACCCCCAACTGGCCAAAGACACAAAATTTTTGCAGCAATCTCGGTGCGTACCTAATTTAAACTAACGTTAGCCCCGCTAATCCTCCGTTTTTATATAGACACAATGGCGTGGATTTGGGTGAGGTATTGGCAGCTCTTAAGTTGAGCGACATGGCCAATGAAAACTTGAGCACCTCCCGCGATAGCATCAATGCCATTGCGCCGAGCGACATTGAGCAATTGGAAACGGATGTTGAGGACAATGCGCACCGGGTAATCGTGCCATTCGCGGACATTTCCTATCGAGCCTTGCCCAGCAACACAGCAGCCGTTGCGGCTGGTGCCATGCCACTGGTCAATTCGCAGACCTGCTTTGTCAGTGGCAACTCGAACATGATACTCAATCATATGAATGACAACTTTGCCATCGAAACGCCGGCCGCCAGCGCAACGAAATCGATGAAGTCCAAGCTGAAGATGGCGCTCAATATTAAGCAGTCGCGCAGCAAGGACTTGGAAAAGCGCAAGCTCAGTCAAAATTTGGACAACTTTTCGCTGCGGCTGGGACAGAGCATCGATGCAGAGGCGCAGCGTAAAACGACCGAGATGCTCACGCAGCAGACGCAAGCGCAAGTGCAAGCGCAGCAGCTGAATGAGAAGAAGGCGCAGCAGCTAAAGCAATCGATGCATTCGAACAACGATGAGAAATTGAGCAGCGAGTTAGTAAATCAATGCGGATCTGTGGTTCATTGATTTTCAAGAAATCTCTCCTTGTTTCAGAAATTCACCTCCTTGTCTATTGCCCGGCTGGGACAGCTGCGACGAATCTCAGAGCCCGCCCATTGAGAACGACGAGTGGCTGGCGTTTTTGAATCGCTCGATACAGGAGCTGCTCGACGGCGAATTTGATTCGCTGAAGCAGCACAATCTAGTCAGCATCATTGTGGCACCGCTGCGCAACTCAAAGGCCATACCCAAGGTGCTGCTGAGCGTTGCGCAGCTGCTGTCGCTGCCCTTTGTGCTGGCCGACCAGCATCTGGTGGCGGAGGCCATCAAGGGCGTCTACATTGATGTGAAGCTGGTGCCCAATTTGATGTACGCTTGCAAGCTGCTCCTCTCGCAGCGCCAGCTAACCGACTCGGCTGCCTCGCTGCCCGGCGCCACGGGCGTCTCGCTAAGCCGCACGCTACGCAGTGTCTCCGACCTGACAGCCGAGGAGATGAACACCGCCTGCAGCTTGTACGAGCTGGTCTGCCACCTGGTCCATCAGCAGCAGCAATTTCTCAGCCAGTTCTGCGACGCAGTGGCCATACTCGCTGTCAACGACATGTTCATTAGCTTCCTAACTCACGGTAAGCAAGTGGCAGCAGTCGACGACAGCGATCCAATTCTAACCATTCCTTTGTCCTTGCAGATTTCAAAGACAGCAGCGCGGTACGTTTGGCCAGCTGCATGCTGGCCTTGTTCTGTTGCGTTCTGCGTGAGCTGCCCGAGAACGCCGAGCTGGTCGAGAAGATTGTATTCGATTCGCGCCTGCAGCTGGTGCCGCTCTTGCAGAGTGAGCATCAGTTGCTGCGGCAGCGCGCCTGCCAGATGCTGTTGCTCTTGGCACGCTTCAGTCTGCGCGGCGTGCAGTGCATTTGGAGTGGCGAGCTGAAGAGCGCCCTGCAGGCGCTGGCCGAGCAGCAAACCTGTCAATCCCTGCGACTGGAGGCCGCCCAAACGCTAGAGGAGCTCAGCCAGTTCAGCTTCTTCGTTGCCCAGGCAACTGCTTAGTTTTTATTACTCAAATTACTTGTATTTGCTCAATAAATCGTAATCCATGTCTAGCCAAACAGACCCTGCAGATTGCCTTGAAAATAGTCGAGCAGCTCGTCCAGGTAGCTCCCAAAGGCATCGAAGCCCAGCAGATCGCTGCTGTTGCAGTCCTGTTCATACATTTCGTTCAGCTTGGAGATGTCCTTCTCGGACAGGCCGCGTCGTTGGCCCAGCGAGGCGTACGGATCCTAGTTAAAATAAATACAAATTATTATTAAATTTTATATATTATTTAATTCGATTTTGTTTTCCTCACTTTATACTCATATATACATACATATATCTAATCCGTTCTAAACGTTTATTTAATTTGATTTTGTTCCCTTGCTTTGTACTCATATACATATATAAGTAAGTTTATTAGCTTTATCTGTAGACATCCATTTACATATCTGACACCGATAATAAAACTTACACTATCTTTAATTTTCTCTCTCTCTTTTCTAATTCCAAATTATAATTATTAATATTTATTCTTGTTATTTATTCTATATTTATTCTTGTTAGTCGAACACTTCTAATCGCAGCTTGAGAACCTTAAGGGCTCCTTAGAATACGTGAGAACTGCATAAGAGAGTATTGGGTAGATATATAACTATTTCTCATTTTTTTTTCGGAGATTTGGAACTTTCGACTATAAGCAAGAATCTTTCTTATTTTCTTTCAATTTATCTCTATTTCCCCTTTTCATACTTACTTTGTATCTTTTACAGCTCTCTCTCTCTCTCTCTCTCTCTCTCTCTCTCTCTCTCCCGCTGTCGCATTTCCAATATCCCTCTCATCATCACTATATCTCTCTATTTTCTCTATCTGTGGTCTTCTCACTCTCTTTCTCAATTTATATATATCTATATCTCTCAATTACTCCCTATATCTCATCCATTCTCTACCTCTCTCTCTTGTCTACCCACACTTATTCTCTCCCTCTTGTCTACTCCTCTCACCAATTCTCTATTTCTTTCGCCTTTTGCCTCCCTTACTCTCTCTCTACCACAATAACTCCCTCTCTCTTTCTCTCTCGTCTACTCACCCATTCTCTCTCTCTATATATTATATGTAAATTACTAACAACTTGTATTTATATTCTAATTTATTTTTCTTCTTCTTGATTACAACACTATGAAGATATTTGAGTCTACAGATGCTGGATGAAATTGAGCTTTGCTAAAGCTGCAGCATTTCGGAGTAGAGACTTGAACTAGAAATCACTTACCAGCGGCTCAATCGTGGGCTTTCCATTCTTGCTGAACGCCAGGGAGCTGTAGTGCATGACGCTCTGATAGTCGTACTCGACGCCAAAGTTGGTGATGTGGGTGCGGGCGTACTTATTGAAGTTGTGGGCGTGCCCATCCAAGATGTTCTCCCAGTTGATCTTCACATACTCGTCGCGCTCGGTGGCGCTCTGCTGGTGGTAGAAGCCCAAAGCGTGCAGCAGCTCGTGAACGATCACGCCATGAGTGACACATTTGGGCGTATTGAGATTGAGTATTTGTCCGCCTTGCCGCCGGCCGACGCTCGACCAGCAGCCGGAGTAGTTGCCCTTGATGAGCAGCCAGTGCTTGTCGCCCTTCTCGTATGGCCGAAAGCGAATGCAGGTGCGATCGTGATACTCCTTGAACGCCTTCAGTATGACCATTGTCTGGTTGGCCGCTGTCCCAAAGCACCTTTCAAACTTCAGTTATCGCATTGGATGTGCATTTCTTTGGCTACTCACTGAAGTCCTCGGCGTCTATGTAGAACGGCACGCCGGCATCCGGCCACGTCTGTCGCTCGTTCAGCAGCCCGTTGCGCAGCAGCTCGCGGTGCAGCATGATGTCGCCCTCGAAGAGGCCGCTGTGCTCCCAGATGTTCGTCTCGCTGTTCTCCGACCAGAAGTCAAAGGCGGCACCTGCAGCAACAACAACAAATAACTGCCATATAGACCACATCGACGACCTGGCCCCCGTGCGTACATACTGTTGTGCCGGCGCAGCATCTGCATGTTGGCGCCCCAGCGTGGCGGCGGCGGCACAGCCGGCTTGAAGCGTCCCATGGCCGTGGCCAGGCCAAGGCCCACGGCCAGCCAGTGAACGATGAGCGCGCGTCTCGGCATTGTGTGGCCAAAAGAAACACCTTCCCGATCGTCTCAACGCTTTTATATATTTGCCCAAAGCGCCCAGACGGCCGTGCGGCTCTGGGCTGGCGACAAAGCGACAATTGAAAGTAATTGAGCTCGGGCAATTGGTCGGGGCCCAACGTCGCTAACACCATCGCCCACGCTGCTCGAATCATGCATAACGGATTTATGCTGCCCTTCGCATGGGCGGGCATCCACACATTCACATTCAGTTTGATACGCCGAAATTGTATAGGAAATCGATGAGTGAGCTGGATTTCCCTTCGATTTGTCAGCTAATAGGGTTGATATGATAAGAATTTGTAACTTTAATCAAACAAGAAAGAGAAACTCTACCTGTCGTATTCATAAGATTTTATTTTTATTTGAAAAATGATTAAAATGTCTTAAATTTTGGTTTATTACTTGAGTTGAACAAGAGCTGAATGTCAGCTGAATATGAATTGAATATGAGCTTAATAGGAGCTGAGAATGAGATGAATATCGACTCAATATGATTCTAATAGGAGCTGAATATGAATGAATTTAGTTAAAGTTGTATATGAGCTGAATTTGAGCAGAATATCAGCTGAATATCAGTTGCTGAATATGAGCTGAATTTTATCTGCACTGAGCTTAACAGGAGCTTAGAATGAGTTGAATATGCGGTGCATTGGAACTGAATCTGAGTTGAGTCTGAGTTTAATTTGATTTTAATATGAGCTCAATTAGAGCTGCATATGAGCTAAATATGAGTTGAATGAGCTGTATATCAGTTTAAAATCAAATGAATTTTTACATCAAGTTCAATGAGCTCAATATGCGCTAAATTTGAGCTGAATTTAACCTAGAGTTGAGCTGAATATGCGGCTTAGCGAGAATTACATCTATCTGGGGCTCTTATTCGAATATTGGATAGTCAAAATATACAATACACAAATAGTAAAGGTAATATTATTTTGCAAAACTTTAATGTAGTAAAATAATAATAAAAGCAATTATAAAGAACTCGAATACTATTATTTTTTAAGAATATATTCAACTGGATAGGCATCTATCTCCTGATAGGCACCTATCTCTATCTATAAGAGTATTTGGTGTATAGAAGCGGATAGATATAAATAATAAATAAATCTATGTATATTAGCTTATTTATCAGATTTACTAGTAAATATCTCATCAGCCTAGCTTCCCTTAGCTATTCCCACTCTGAAAGCTCTTCAATTTTCGATTGCGATAGAGCATTGAAATGGCTAAGCAAAGCATATAGTTATTTCTTCATTTTCTTTCGAGTTTGTCTTTGTCTTTGTTTGTAATTGGCGTTGTGCTCTCTCTTTCAGCGCGTATTTAAATTCCCTTGTCTTTTACGGCTTTTGATTTCATATTTAACTGGGATATTGGGTTATCAGCGGCAACAGGGCGCGCATATGAAAATAGCACAGTCACCGAGCGCCGGCGATGCTAGTGATGGGCGCATGTCGTGACACGCAGCAAAGTCATAAATCTATGCATACGAGATATATATGGTATATACAATATCTGTATATATGATATGATTATATATTAGTGAAGAGGTGCGTGCTCATCATCGCATGCAACCACTACTTATGCCGTCACAGTCACGAGCCCATCTCTTTGTCGCCAGAACGCATGCAGCCATCATACGAGTTGTATGTCATTTGGAAAGTTGCATGCAACATATATGTATGCATGCGTGTGTGTCCAAAGTGCATGCCTTCATATGTTTGTCAAGAAGTTATTTTTAAGTTATTAAATTCACGATTCGTTCAAGTCATTTGGGGACTTTACAAAGTGAAGTTGTCTGCGTCAAGGAAATTATGTTAATTTCTTTCTCTGTTGAGTAATTCTGCATAACTTTTAGTAAAATTTGTAAATATGAGCAATAGGTATAATAATATAATAAGGACACGTTGTCATAAGGATGTTCCCATAGTGTCTATCCTACTCCATAGCTCCTACAGGGTATCGAGCGAAGCCTTAGCAGACATTTAGTCGGTGCATGGAACAATTTGAAGTCTTCACAGATAGTCGCAGTGGCAGCTTTGAATTTAAAAGCGCTCACGTCGAGAGGTGACGTCGTGAAAGCCTAATCAACGATCGCGCAGATAGTGAATGGGCGATCGAAAAGTTCTTTGAACCTGTATCTGTAAATGTATCTGTATTTGTATCTGTATCTGTATCTGTATCTGTATCTGTATCTGTATCTGTATCTGTATCTGTATCTGTATCTGTATCTGTAT